ACCCAATCAGAACACAACCACTGCTTCATTTGGAGGCTTTGCCATGGGCAACACAGTTTCCACTGCTGCTCCTGCTACCACACAGTCAACCTGCAACTTTGGAAAGTCATCTTTTGAAGCCCCAGCAGCTCAGACAACCTTTGGCTCCACAGCAGCAGCGCCAAAGCCATTCACTTTTGGAGGCAGCGGAGCGTCATCCACACCTGCTTCTAACCCTGCCCCAGCTCCTTTCAACTTTGGGGCAACTCCTACCACCACAGCAGCCACTTTTGGTACCCCAGCTAAACCAGCATTTGGAGCCAGCACTGCTGGTTTTGCTTTCGGTGGCACTGCCGCTCCCTCAGCTGCACCCTCAGCTCCACCAAGTTTCGGTGCAGCAACCCAGGCTCAGAGCTCCTCCACACCCACCTTCGGATTTGGCAGTGCAGCTCCTCAGCCGGCTCCCTCTGGACCAGCTCAGCCAGCATCCGGTGGATTTAACTTTGGCTCTGGAATGCCGTGCCCTCAGTTTGGAACACCAGTTTCCAATAATCCTGCACCACAGATGGGAAGCTTCAACTTTGGGGCTGCTGCTACAGACAAACCAGCTTTTGGTAAGGAATTAAGACTGTTGTTGTTTTGCTTGTTTATGTCTTAAGCCCACCTGTAGAGCGGTTCAAGCAATGAATGTAATGTTGGCTAGCTATTTCTTTTGGCTGTTCCCTTGCTTGAAAGGGTTTTTATCACACCAGACATTTGATTTGGCACAGATTTTACTCCGGGTGACCTTTTTGTGTCTCCTCCTGGTCTCAAGTCAGGGATCTTTCTTGTGTTAGGCAAAGATGTTAACCACTACACTAATTTTGTCTGTTGCGAATATCTTAAAATAATTTTAGTTTTGATTACCAGTAAATGATAGTAAATTAATTGAAATGATTGGTATGTGAAACATAACCAGTAGTTGAATTAACGGGTCTCAGTAGTGGGGAGGGTGGGCTGCATTTTTGTTTGTTTACATCGCTGTATGGTTGCACTTATGTGTGAGTGCTGGTTTCCTACTGTGCCACACACTGACAGAAAGATTTCTGTGGTTAGGTTACTATGTTGGTCTATCAGAGTTTTAGGTGTTGGGTGTTTGAAGTTGCATGCTGTTTTCCCTGCAGGAACATCAACACCATCTTTTGGCCAGAGTGCTGCTGGAGGTCCAATTCCCTTTGGAAGTCCTGGAACTCCACTCCAAGGCTTCAATGCTGTTCAGTTTGGTGAGGCATCAATTTTCTTTTTCTTTTTTTTTGTTTTTTTAGAGGTGATGCCCAGCTGGGGCTTTAGTAGGGATGTGTGGCTAGATGTTTAAACGATGGTTGCTCTCAAGGAGCTGTAACCCAGTGATTTAAACAAATTAGTCTTCTGATTTTATTTAGTGAGAGTGCAGCACCATCACAAAGTTTTATTGATAAATTTGTTAAATTACTCTATACCTCATCTGTTGGTAATAGGATGCTACACTGTAGCATTATGCATTGCAATGTAGTGGGATTTAGCCTGTTTATCTACTGCTGTGAGGCCGAAGTGGAAACACATGGGTTCTGTTATTAAAGGTGGGCTTGAGGCAAGCTTATGGGAATTTTTATTGGAGCCAAATACTTAAAAGCATGTTGCCTCACTATAAGAATTCCTTGTCAGACCTGATATTGATCCTAATTTAGATGAAATTAAGAGGCAGTTTTGAAGTTTGAAAATTTGATGCCACTGTTAAGAACTGGATACTTTGTAGCAGAAATTGTTACATATCCATATATTTTTTTATTTTGTTTAGGATCTCCAGCAACTCCTTCCTTCTCAATCGGAGCTGGATCGAAAACATCCGGAGCACGGCAGAGGCTGCAGGCGAGGCGACAACACAACAGGAAGAAGTAGCCTGCCACGTCGTTCCAACAACGCATTCGGAAGGACTCCAGCTGTTGCTGCTATGGCTAACCTGGCTAACATTGCTCTGTTCTAAGCCCAACATCCCACCCCATCAGGCTACCACCATGCCCTCTGCTTCCTCCCTCTCCTCCTCCAGTGGGTTGTGCTGGCCCGAAGTTTGCAGACGAGTTAGAAAGAGCACATTAGCCTACTGAGTCCATGACCCAGTGAGGGAATGCAGCAGTAAGGAGAGAGAAACCACAATTATGTACTATACTTGAAAGAGAAAAGACTATTTGATAGATGCTGAACATAAGCATATCCAAAGTTCTTTTTCCTTTTACCATACACGGACACTCCCATTGGTTCGTCTTAAGGAGAAAGTTGAGTCGAGCTAAAGGTGGAGCTGCGGCTCAGACATTTATTTTTTTACGTGAAACGCTCGCTGGTTTGTATGTTACCTGGATATTTGAATACATTCTCTGACTGAGTCTGAATGGGATGAAATGCACAGTCAATTCAGATAAGGTACACAACACTGCAGTGTAAATGTAAAGTTTGCATTTAAATTATTTTTTTAATTGGCTCTCTGACCCTGTAAATGAATAATGTGTTTCTGCACTTAAAAGGGTGACTTAGTAAATGTCTTAACGTAGTTTGTGCAGACCCTTGTGTTCTTGTTTCGTACTCTTTGTCATTGCAAGCATTCCCAGAGTCCTCCTGTGGATGGCCTTTTTTGATAGTGATTGCCAACTGATTGAATTAGCAGGTCAGTATGTGAGTAGGATGAGTACTCGACTAGCGCTGACAAACCAAAGCCAACTCTTCAGCTTGTTCCCTGTGAAAAGAATCTTGAGATGAGAGTGTGCTTGTGTGTGTGTTTGTTGTGCCAGACTACCTCTCTTTGCGCCCAGGCACTGAATCCTTGTTAATTCACTGAAACGTAACAAATCTGCTAGAATCAGTTACATTTTACCTTCAGCCTACCTGCTGTTAATGCACATGTAACTGTGATAAATGGTGAGTTTTTAAATATCTGCACAGCAACACATTATCCCCACTTCAGAAATGTCACTGCTACCTTATGTCAGATTTACTAAAATTACAGTCTGTTCTATTGGATCTCTCACAGCGATACAGGGATTTTTTTTTTTTTTTTCGTTTTTGTTTTTATTATTATTTTTGTTTTTGAGCATGCAGCAAACATGGACAGTAAAGCAGTTGATGTCAGCTGTTTTATTCAAATGATCTCTGTTCTCAGTAATAATCACCTCTTATTGTGAAAAGTGAGCCGTTACCAGTTGGGTTTTGTGTTTGTTTGGTTTTTTTTTTGGTTTTTTTTGGGGGGGGTGGGGGGGTCTGTCTTTGTTTCTTCTTCTTCTTTTTTTTTTTTTATTTGGATGGTCAAATTTGAATAAATAAAAATGTGAGTTGTGGATGTTCCACATTAAACCTTTAAAGATCGCCAAATTTTCTTCCCAAGATGTGGAGGCTATACTTCATACTGTGTATTAGCAGTATGCTGTTTTTGTAGTGGATATACAAGTATTGCTTAGTAATGTTGCAGGAAGTTAAAGAGGACCTGTTATGATTGTTCTTATTTTCTGTCATGTATATACTGTTACAATAGTGGATCCTCATATTAAACTTGGCCAGAGTTTTGAGTAATTTGTTCACTTTATGAACAAGTAAACCCTGTCAGGCATCAAACTTCTCCAAACGCACAGTTTCTGATAGTTTTTTTTTTTTTTTTCTTCCTTCTACTACTTCTGGTTGTATGATGTTCATGAGAGGAGTAATCCTTAACATCTCTCTTTGTGAGGGGCATCCAATCAGAAGAGCCCCTTAAAGAGGGGTTTGCTACACATGGTGGATGAACAGCAGAGCAAGAAGGGAAAGTGTTTCTTTATGGAGTCTGGATTTTTTTTTTTCTCCAAGCTTCTGTGGGTTTCTCTTCTGAATTCGGGTTTCTCCCCTGCCAAAAACATGAAACACATTGGAAAAATGCTTTGTTAATGACATGCTGCTTACAGAACAAGAATGTCAAGAATTGATATCCAACATACTCTGAGAGATCTAAGTAGTGTTTTACTGGGCACTGTGTCTATGAGTTAGTCCCAATAAATTTAAGTGATTTAATTTCAAGAAAGCTGGAGTTGAAATCAGATTCAATATAACGTTAGACTAGATATAAGTCCAAACTTCTTTTTCTTCTCAGAAAATAATCACACTGCGTTTTAAAGCATATTTGGAAGTATTACCACTTGCCACGGAACAGTAAATGGCTACTTTCCCGAAGAATACATGCTTTTACTTTAAATATTTCAGGTATACTTGATGCAAATATCTAAATCACATTTACTTAGGCTTGTAGACATGGTCAAAATGACGTTCAACTCGGCATGGGGATGGGTAATTTAAGAAACTTTGAAAGGTGAAAATGCCTGACAACTTTGAACTGATCCAAAAACTCATTTAATTACTTGTTACAAACACAGGAATGCAGAGGAGCATCTCTGAATGCACAGCATGTTAAACCTTGAAGTAGGTGAGCTAAAGCAGCAGACACCCCACAATCAGTGCCACTCCTGTCAGCTCAGAAAAGGACACAGAGGATACTCTTCACGCGGGATCGCAGAAAATGGACAGTAAAAAACTGGAAAAAATTTGGCTGGTCTGGTGAGTCTTGATTTTTGCAGCAATATTCAGATGGTAGGATATAAATTTTGGTGTAAACATTGTGGAAGCATGGCTCCAACTTTTTTCCTGAAAAGTTTTCAAACATTCCACACACGCCAGTCCGCTAGGTGGCATTAGAGACGGTTTGATACCCGGATTGTGCTGCATTCATGACTACACGCAGAACAGGAAATGTGAAAATTGTGGCAGTTACGCTAGGTAACGCCATTAAAACTAAGAAAAAAAACGAAAACGAATAATCTAAGAGATTAAGTTGTCTTTTAACGTCATGTTAAAATCATGCAAGTCAAACTGAATGGAAACGGAATGTTTATACATTTAAAATAAACTGTATATGTTTCACGGAAATGTTTGGGGGCGGGGTATTCTCGTATTTGCAGTCGTAAACATGAACGCAGCCTTAGATGAAGCGTGCTATTAGGACGCATGCGCGGTGCCCCAGTCGTGCGGGGTTAGTTTAGGAGACGTTAGCGTTGCAAAATACGTGGCAGAAGGGTGTCAACATGGAGATAGCTGCTCTGGCCGCGTTAACTTTGTTACTGGGTGCACTGGTTATTCTGGTTGCGTTAGCGGTGGGCAGACGGAAAGAAGAAATAAGAGAGGAAACTGAGCAGGCAGCGGAGTTTGCCGGTAAGAGCTACTCAGGCTAATGTAACTCTAGCTAGCTGGAGAAGGGGGGGACTGTGGAGAAGGCGGCAAGTCAGTCATACTGCATTCATTCATTCATTAACTCACTTACTCAGTAATCGATTCATTCAACAAAAGAGCTCCGTGCCAACGATATTAACACGAACTCAGAGCTAGAAGTACAAGCTACGGTAACTTTTGAGTGGCTGTCACTGTCACATTAACAGACCAATGGGTGCACTGCTTTCTGTCGAGTCACTGCCTGTTTTTTAACGCTTCATTGATGACAAAGGTTCAAATCGGTATCTGTAGCACGTGACATTAGTTAATGGCAACATGGTACATGTAAATGGCTTGTATTTGTATAGCGCTTTACTTAGTCCCTAAGGACCCCAAAGCGCTTTACAGCGTGAAGTAGAATAGCTCACTGTATAAAGATAGTACTTAAAAGTTATAAAACAGAGGAAGGTTAGCACATTCATCTGATGTTGAGTCTGTTTAACTATGTTTGAAGAAGAATTTACATTAAATTAAATTTTGGACTAATAAAGACGTAGTTAGACTATTAATTTTTCTCCAGGTAATAGGATTCAAAGTTTATAATTGAATAATAATACAGTAATAATCCTGGGCATAATTTTTATAACCTTGGAGTTAATCACTTTAATAGTAACTTATTATAGTTTTGTGTTGTCTAAATAGGTTTTGTTTGTTTTTCATTTTGAATTTTGTTTTTCTTTTGAGGTTAGTTTGAGTTATTTTGGATGTTTTAGTTTAGATTTTTATCCATCACATCCATCCATTTTCTTCCACTTATCCCAGACAGGTTGCCACTCTGTTGCTGGGTTAACTTAGAGACCGACAACTGCCCATACTCACATTTACACCTATGGCCAATTAAGAGTCGCCAGTTAACCTAATGTGTATGTCTTTATACTAAAGGAGGAAGTTAAGTAATTCGTTTTTTTAAAAAAATTATTTTGGTTACTTTTTCATTTTCTTAGTTTCCAATCGTATAGCTTATTTCCACAATTTTCTTGGCTTTTAATTTAATTTTAGTTCACTATAATAATCATGCCGAGAGTGTTTTTCCACATTCTGTTAACATTGCATGCAGTGAATAGAAAACCTCCCAGAGCTAATTCCCTGATTTCCAGAGTTTTGGGGGTTTTTTTTGTTTTTTTTTGGGGGGGGGGATTGTCATGATACCAAGGATTGGAAAATTACACATCAATTATCTTTTAGCTGTTTGTTAATGCTTCATAACACCCACATCATGTTCAGAAATAGCATAACCAATGGTTTATTCTAAAATGAAATGTGTGGAAATAAAACTTTTTTTATGTTCTTAGCCTTTTCCTTATGACTGGGCTTTGATATACATGCTAATGTGCAGGCTTGTTGGAGAAGATCCATAAACAAGAGCTTTCCATCAATGATTTTTCCCCAGAGATAACGGATTCATAGCAGCTCACAAGAGTACATTGTTATTGTTAGACTGCTTATAAAAGTTAGATACACTTATATTGTTAGTAAAATTACAGAAGACCAACCACACAAACCACACAACTTAATTAAATAATGATAATAGAAAAACTTATAATAAAAAGTAAAGAAATAAAATGGAAACCTAAAAAACAAAATGAGTATGTGTATTTTGTTTATATTTATGTTAGAAATTGTACAAAATTACAAATTCTATATGATATGTTATTATCTATATAATGCTAAACATATAGCATTATAAATGGACTGGTTCTGTTTTGTAAGTGCTTTGTACTACAAGACTTATTAACACAAGCACTTTTTTTCCTGTGCCTAATTACTTACTACCTAATATTTATGCTCTATGAGCCCATCGGAGAGCAACTTGGGGTTCACTATCTTCCCCAAGGATACTTTGGCATGCAGACTGAGGCAGCCAGTGATCAAAGCAGCAAAGCTCCAATTAGTAGAACTGCTTATTCTCCTGATATACAGCCATCTGAGTAATAGTTTGTATATATCCTTTTAAAATAGTCTTAGTGGGCATCAATGGTCATGTTTTTCCTGTGTGTCTTCCAGCTGAAGCCAGTGCTGTGAAGGGTTCCCAATCCAAGAAGCAGAAGCAGGAGAAGCAGCGTGGCCGCAAGGATAAACCTACACAACACACTTTCAGCCATCCGCTGCTGGCAGCCTCTCTGAAGGTAAACTGAAACAATCATCAAACACACACATTGTAAAAGCCTCAGAGGACAAGGAAGAGTTTTCATAAGAGACCGGAGTTTGGTTTGTTTTAAGTCACTGTAGGTTATGCGAGTTAAAAGCCTTGCTTTTGTTTTGGTCTAGATGCCGCTCAGCTCAGTGAGCTGTTCTGAAATAATTTAACAAGGTTTCACTTGCACCCTCTCCATAGCCATTTTTCAGCATGTGTGTATTTGTTTCCATGTGCCTTTTAGGGCCACAGTGGAAATGTGACGTGCCTCGATTTTAGCAGTAACGGGAAGTACCTGGCGTCCTGTGCTGACGACCGCACTGTTCGGATCTGGAGCACCAAGGACTTCCTGGACCGCGAGCACAAGTGTCTGAGAGCCAATGTGGAGCTGGATCACGCTACGCTGGTCCGGTTTAGCCCTGACTCCAGGTCTTTAACTACACTTACTGACATAAAGCATTTCTTCTCTTTCCTAAGGAAAGTGAATTGTACACAAGAGCTAGTGTAAGTTTAACATAAACCAGGTCAAAGAGGTTTAGAAAAGACTTGTGAAGTAACTTGTTTGATGATCTGAAACATGTAAGCATGTAAAATATGAAGAAAAGTAATCAGTAAGTGGACCAATACCTTTTCAAAGTATTATACACAACCAGAGTTATGGTGAGGTAATCTTCAGAAAATCTTCACTGATTTTCTCCTTTTCTCTACAGGGCGTTTATCACCTGGTTGGCCAACGGAGACTGCATACGAATCTTCAAAATGACAAAGAAGGATGACGGCTCCATGAGCTTCAAAGCTGCTCCCGAGGATTTCCCACAGAAGCACAAGGCCACCATCCTCAACATTGGCATCGCAGAGACAGGTACAGAATGCCGAAATAACTTAAAAGTTTTTACTTATAGTATCGGCTAGTAACGCAGTTAACACAGCTGGGTTTGTTTTTATCACCAGCTGGGTTTTTGAAAGTGTGTGAAACCATTTGTGGTTTAGTATTTAACAATCAGTAAATTCATTTCAATGTTTCTTTTATTCATCTGCTCCATCTCTTTGATTATTTGTCCAGTCTTTGGGTTAGTCAGCCTCTTGACAGCCTAACTGTTTTAAGAAAAAAATCGACCCACCAACAAGCAACAAAAGTTGACTCTAGTTTCACATGAGAAGAAAGCTGTCAAAAAAGGGAATATCTGTTAAAACCTTATTTATTGATTTATTTATTTTTCAGTATTTGTCACCAGTTTATGGGGCTGATATTGTGTTTCTCACCCACAGGCAAGTTTATCATGAGTGCCTCCACCGACACCTGTATCAACATCTGGGACCTGAAAGGAGAGGTGCTGGCCTCTATCAACACGAACCAGATAACCAATTCTTATGCTGCCATCTCCCCGTGTGGCAGGTCAGTCCCACTCCTTATTTACTGCACAGCTTACACTTGAAAGCTTAGAAATGATATACATCTACTCTGTAAGTTTATTGTTTTACTGTTTCATGACATTAAAAAAAGAAAAAGTGTCTATAAGCGATGTTTTACAGTAAGAGCTGTAGGTTCTTCTGCTTTAAACTGTTGTTGAGAAAAGTAAAGGTCTGAAAAGTAATTTTCCCACATGTAAGATGATTTCTTCATATTGTTTTTACTTTTAAATTCCATTCAGTAAAATAAAAATCGAAATAAAAATAAGCGTTTGAATTGCGTGTCACTCTTTGGGAGCTCTGATCCTGCTTCATCTATTCGCTCAGGTTTGTCGCGTCCTGCGGCTTCACTCCTGATGTGAAGGTGTGGGAGGTTTGCTTCGGCAAAGGAGGAGACTTCAGAGAGGTGGTGCGAGCCTTTGACCTGAAGGGCCACTCTGCTGGAGTCCACGCATTTGCCTTTTCCAACGACTCTCGCAGGTAATACACTGCAATATTTGAGATGGAAAATAAATGGTTGTTTATAAGCTGAGACAACATAAAATGGCATATAAACGTTAAGGTGAGAGTAAAGAAGCCTGCTCTGTTAAGCAGTAATACTTTCTTTTCATTTTTCAGGATGGTGAGCGTCTCCAAAGACGGCACGTGGAAGCTATGGAACACGGACGTGGAGTACAAAAAGCAGCAGGATCCCTACCTCCTGAAAACCGTTCCCTGCAGCTCGTCTGAAGGCAGCCGGGTGGCCTTGTCTCCAGACGGCCGGGTGGTGGCCGTCAGCGATGGCTGCAACGTGGCCATGTACGATGCTGCCAGCGGAAAGCTGGAGGAGGAGATGCACGGCGTCCACAGCATGGAGATCACGGACCTTAGGTTTGACATTAATGGACGCTTCTTGGTGTGCAGTGGCGACAAGGCTATCCGAGTGTTTCACAATGCTCCGGGCTACCGGGCTGCCATCAAAGACATGCAGGACATGCTGAGGAAGGCTCAGAACGAGGCCATGAAGCAGAGACTGCAGCAGCAGATCAAAGAGGCTCAGAGTGCCCTGGACGCTGTGCTCGCTGCCCCCTCCAACTAAACAGAAATAACAGGAAATCACACTCTGAATGTGACAGTGTCAGACTCTGCTAATCATTTGTTTGCATAGTCACCTCTGCCTCTTAATGATCTGGACTGTGAAGATGAGATTTGCATGCAGTTTAATAAAAGGTATCTTTTTATGGAAGTGCTTCGTTTGATTTGAGACATTTGGACTTCTGAGTGTGATGTGCTGTGATTGTGTTTGATTTGTCATAGTTTGTGAAATTGGTCTCATAGTTCTTCAGAGTCACTATGTGGAAAAAGGAACAGATTAACAGTCCCTTTAACATCTAATGGCCACTGTCGGTTTGGGTGCTTCATTTCCAAGTCCAGGTGTTGTCTGTGCTGACTCACTGTGAAACTTTGAACACAAACTAATGTTAATGTCCACCTTTGCTTTTCCTACTGTGGTAGGTCAAAATTTCTGCTGTGAAAAAAGTTAAAAGTGTAATATTTTCCCAGAGGGTGGCGCTGCAGTAAAATTCTTTTTCTGCTTATTACAGCCAAAGTAAATTTTTGGAAATCTCCTCTTTGAAATCCTTAAAGCTTTATCTAATGGCATTGCTATTGAGAGTTAAAAATTAGGCCTCAGTTGACACCTGTGCACTCTCACATGGGTGTACAATTCAGTGCAAATACCATAAGAGGATTTGACTTCAGAGCAGAACGTAAATTGTGAGGTGTCTTTTAAGTACAACTAACTGAAAGAAGTGCGAGCAAGATGTCCGGCATCTTGAAAACACAGGTGAAACCACCTCTTCGGATCTGTCAGAGTGATAAAAATAACCTTCAAGTGTCACTGAAACTGGGGAAGAAAAACTAGCTTATTCCTCAGTCCATCCTAGCAGCCCACTGAAGGTGTATTTGATCCTCACAAACAGAGTTATAGCGGGGAAGTCTGGAGCGTCCTATAATCCCCAGAAAGTTAAAGCATATCAAAATAATCCTCAGGATTTGCAGAATTTGTAACTTGTTTTGAATAAAGGCATATATTTGATTACAGTGTGCTTGTATATGAGGATTTGGGTATAAAATAAGGCCTTAAGTATCTTAATTCAATTGTGCAGTCTGGATTAATTTTTGTAGCTTTAATAGAAGACATTCTGAATCTCTGTGCCCTTTTTGGTATTTTTTTAAGACTGTCAGAATGAATATTTTGTAAAACAACACCAAAAAATAAAAAAAATATTCCCTTAAACAACATTAATCAGTTATTTTCCAGTCTTTCAGACCAAGACATGGGCCTGTTATATTAATCAGAAAAACGGGGTGATCCAGTGTATTGTGTGGCTTGAGTAGTTTATATAAAAAATTATAAGTCATTTGTAGGGTGGAGAACAGATTCAGAATACTTTATTGATCCCAGAGGGAAATTGTTTTGTTACTCACACTGAAAATATAAATATGAAAGATTGAAAATATAAAGTGAATTTTTTATATTCAAACAAAGGCACACAAAGTGCAATGTTAAATTAAAATAAAATGTTCCAATTCTAGTGAAAATGTAATGGACGGACAAATCAAGGAAAATCAAATGAAAAAAGTCACCATTTATTTTAACCATTTGGATGAAATAAATCTTAAAACAAGGCTCATGGTAACAAAAACATGTTTTATGATATTAATTAAATGTAATTCAATAAATAAATGCATTGATACATTTTTATCATTTATTATTATTATTATTCGAATATGTGGCTATATATGCTCATTTTCTAACAACTCTTTTAACTATATTATATTATATTATATTATATTATATTATATTATATTATATTATATTATATTATATATTCCCTTCTGTGACTCGCTCAATAAAGTTTTTTCTTCTTAAAAAAAAAACATGGCTGGTGAGTTGACCCGGATGTAGTTTCCGTGAGTGAGGCACGTGTTCCCCCTGCAGCAGCATGAGTTGAGGTGGTGGTGGCATTTGGAACAGATGTCTGTAGAGATGGTGGAGCTCTCAGTGAAGGCGGCGGAACCGCTCCGGCCCGCCGGTAACCTGCAGCAGAACCGGGTCTTCCTCGACTTCTTCTGGGACCTGGCCAAACCGGATCAAGAGGTCCGACTGAAGGCGGTGGAAAACCTGATACAGTACCTAAAAACCAACAACAAGGTGAGGCAGACTGCGATCGGTGTCACTGAGAGACGGAGCGTGGTCCCGCTGCACATGTACTCCTCAGAAGTTTTCCACTAGTAGTTTTAGAAGTAGTAGTTGTACACATAGTGTCGTATGGAGAGGTGGGAGATGTTTTCATATGTAACTGATTATATGACTGGATATCATACAGGATGTCATTGACACACTGAAGTATTTCAAGTATCAAGAATTTAAATACTCATATAACAGTTTCAGGCCTATATTATTAACATAAGGCACTATTACCGTAACTACCTACTTTATCAAAACTTGTTAAAATACCTTGTATACAGTATAAGAATCAAAACATTAAATAAAATTACTTAAAAATATAGTAAACCTTTTCTTACCGTACTGCAAGCAGAAATACTGTAAAGCACAGTAAAGTATTTTACTGTCAAGGGTCAAGGATGAAGGATAAAGAGTGCACTTATAAAAATGTCTGAGTTTAGTATGTAGTATTTCTTGTATAAGTATATTCCAGCATATATATGATTCCACACAGTGTTAAAGTGTCTGTAGTTTCAAAGTTTTAAATCATCTTTCTTCATGTTTTGCAGGAGGATGAGTTGGAATACACCTTTAAAAGGCTGGTGGATGGACTGGCTCACACACGGGAGACTGCAAGACCTGGGTTCAGCCTCGCTCTGGGGCAGGTGAGTGGAGTTTATCCCCATCTATCTTTGTCTGCAGCCCTGCCTCTGCGCACACATCCACAGCTTCAGCCACATCTTTGTTTCAGGGTTGGGGGTAATAAACACAGTGCAGGAGTTCAACACTACTTTTAATAACAAAAATCCTCTTTATTTATCTTCATAAGTGATAAAATTCCTGGATGTGGCTTTTATGTGCTAAGAGATGGTTGTGAGACCTGCTATGATGTATAGTTTGGAGACTTTGACTGACAAAACAATAGGAAGCTGAGTTGGAGGTGGCAGAACCAAAGATGTTAAAGAGTTAGAGAGGTGAGGCTGAGGTTGGTTTAGAGATGTAGAGAGGAAGGATAACAGATGTTTAATACGGAGCTGCCAGCCAGGAGGAAAAGAGGAAGACCAGAGAGCAGGTTTATGATGATGTGTAGATAAGGAAGACATTGCAGAGCGTTGGCACGACAGAGGAAGATGCTGGGGGGATGTTCAGATGATCTGCCATGATGACCTTTAGATGTCAAAGATGAAGATGAGGAGAAAGAGGCAAATGTCACAGAAGTCACAGAAGCAGATGAAGAAGACAAAGAAGATAGAGACAAAGAGAGAGAGAAGCGATGATTTGTGTGTAAAAGACTTATACACACCTTTTTTTTGGCACATTTTTGTACATACAAAAGTGTCACTATAAGCTTTGTAAAGCAATAGGTTATGACATCAGCATGTACACATATACCTAATAAAGTGGTCAAGATGTGTTGCTGTTACTCTTCATTAAAGAGCAAATTCAAAAGTCTAAGGAGTAGATGTGATCATGTTAAAAGCTAACCAGTCAGCTGTAAAGCCCCGCTTTAGATTCATCTTAAATTAGGGTGGTAGCCAGAAGTTTCCAGGGTGTCATTACGTAAACTGGAATTTGTTTTTCCCCCTTGTCAAACATGGACATACCTCCTGAATGAATCATCCTTTGCTTTCTGTCTAGCATGGACAGTCTCCCTTTATTTGTGTATCACCTTCTGTACAGCGTCATGCAATTTAAAGTGCTAGTTTTGCCTTATTTTAAGATGAGTATTGAACTGAATATATTGGTCCTAATGTGGGTTTTGGAGTGTGTACAAATGCTGTTTTGCTGCTAGTGTTAGGAAAGTGCTCTATAATAACTGAGCTAAGCAGTAAAGTTTCCCTTATTTTTAGGTTTTGAGTGCCTTTGAAGATGTCTCCCTGCAGAGTATACTCAACAGAATCAAAGAAAAGCACAACTTGCAAGGAGCTAAAAAGGTGAGTTTTGGGTGTTTGGTCTCTTTTAGCACCAAAATCGATGAATGCAATCTTTGAACTTGTTTCATCTTTTGTCTTTCAGAAATTTTCCAGAAATGCTATGTTTGGAAACTTGTTTGGTGTTCTTGCCCTTCATCAGTCCAACCGCCTCTCTAAGGTAAGTTTTCTCACATTTTTAGCATACTTGGAAAAAATTTTGCTGCATTAAAGAGGAGAATGTGCCTGAGACAATATACTGAAGATGCTTGCAAATATTTAAGGGATACCAATCATAGGGAAAGCAGGAAAAAACAAAAAAAGATCATGTTTGCATCACTTTCAGGTCTTTGTACGGTTGTATATTTCACGAGAGATTTAAGATCCAGGTGACAGAGGAGATCCAGGACAGCTGATGCTCTGTCAAATACGTTGTGGTCTCTGAGCTCTCTGTCTTGTTTCTGTGCAGGAGCCGCAGGTGGTGTTGGGATGTGTGACGCTCCTGCAGAGCCTCAGTCAGCACAAACAACACCTGAAGGACCTACCCACCAAGACCATGATGGACATCCTCGCTGAGGTGACAGCTGCAGCCTAGTTACTGCTACAAAAATAGTGTTTTTCAACTATTTTCAGGGGTTTTCTGACTCTAGTGTATGTCATCCTGTCCATCAGGTCCCTGAGGAGGTGTTTGAGGAGGTCCTCATGGGAGCCCTGCAGACTGACCTGGAATCTGCTTTCAGGACTCCGGAGCAGCTGCAGCTACTGCTGGTAGCTCTGCAGCGCTTCCCACAAACCCTCAAACCCAAGAAACTGAAGAAGTTGCTGGGCTCCTCCACCATCATCAACGCTGACAACATACCCAAGTAAGAAGCTTTCACAAACACGCACATCTTCTGCTGCTGATCTGAATGTTCATTTTAGCTTACACTGCTCTGTGCTGGCTACACTACTTAAAGTGCATCCTATAATTATGCACCACTTTCCCCTTCTGGGTCTGCTAATCAGCAGCTTCTGACTGAACTGTCTAATCTGATGTCTGGCAGAATAACAGAAGTGTTGAAGACGGCAGCCCACGCTGTGAAGAAGGAGCGCATCCTCCCAGCA